AGGAGTGGCCTTCCATCGATCGAAGGAGCAGGTTAGGTTAGGTGTTTTCTGTATGTTGTGATCACGTAGTGTGAATTTCGAGGGCCGGTTTCACAAATGTGCAGAGTTGCAATTTGAGAGTGGTGATAGCCGAATCCCCAACATGATTTCCATCATCTACCTCCTGCCATTCCTCTGGACGCTCTCTGGAACGATAGCGAGAAAACCTCCTTCATTTGGGGTGAGTTCAACAAAGTTCAATGGTACTAAAATTTTGTATATAGAAGTGGTTTCCGAACCTTGTCCCAATGTATGTTCCTTGTAAATGTTTCCTCACAATTACGTAAGAAGAAAAACGTCAACAAACGTTTTTTACAGGGTTTTTCCTACGATCTGGTGAACTCTGGTTCAGTTCTGATGGCCACCATTTCATGGCTAATTTTCATCATCTTTATTTCTTCGCCACTATGCCATACCGGCAGAGACACCTGTCTCCGGCCATCGGGAGCAGCTGATGTAGCTGAATAGAACCCGCAGCTTCTGCCGCCCCTGTAAACCTACCAGTCTTCCCTGTGGCTCCTAGAAATTGTCTTCGCGGGACATCGAAAACAGGCCAGAATATTATTTTTCATTTCTTCTTTTATTTTGGCAAATTTTGGGATTTTTTTATTGGTATTTTTGGTGTGGTACCTACTTACTAATTTCGTGAATTTCGCTGGGATGAATAACTGAATACAATTTATGTTCAATTTTCATAAGGAAAACTTCACACTTCAGTTCTATAAGTTACCTAACCTTTTGTGTAACTAAGGTAAATGTAAAGCGGCTCATAGTACTATGCTAAGCTACCTACCAGTACATACATCAGTTTCGTGGAAGCTTGCGGCTTCTATGATCTCTATTTAACCTAAAATCAAGTGTGATATTTGACCTTTTAATATTCTCTACATTTTTACACAATATGTGAATTTACCTTTTCATTTAATTATAATACATCCTACTTATACTTAAATTCAGTCCCAAGGGTTATAATATAAAGAGTGTTATTATTTCACTACTCCCCCATATAGCTGAATATCGGAATAAATGTTAGTTTTATCTATTGAGATAATCTTTAAAACTTCTCGTCTGATTTTTTAGTTTGCAGTACAATTTTCAACAGTCGATTTCAAATTCTGAAAACATAAAAAAAATAAACTAAGTGGCGCTCTGGGAATTTTATGTAACATAAAAAAAAGGGGATAAATATTCAATCTTTAGAAAAATTTCATGAGAGTAAAATAAAAATGTTACACACTGACCAAATGACATCCACAAAGATAACAGCAAACATGCATTTTTTTCCGCTCGTGCTTAAAATACTCGTTACTAAAATGCCGTCCATAACACTTGTTACATAATATACTATTGAAAGTACAGGGATGCGGATTCCACTTCTTGAACACAATGTTGTCCAAATGTCGTCCATCCTTCACATCGCACTCATCCAATGATTTTCTTGAATGTTGGAATACCCGCTGACACATATTCCTTTTTCAATAGGAATGTTGTTAATTGCCTGTCGAATGTTGTCTTTTAACATCCCGAAAGTTTAAAAAGTGTTTAAAAGTGTTTTTAACCGCCAGCTTAGTTGCAAAGCAACCCTCGAAAGTCAGAGACTTGTGTGAGTTAAGAAGACGGGGACCTTAGCTTTTTAAGTGTCATCCGAAGCACTACTCGGCTGGTAACCGTGGACAGTCCAAAGGATTGATATCTAGGTACCAAGAATGTTGGGTTGGCCACCTATCTCCTCCCGCCCAACGAAACTACCGAAAATTAATTCAGTGCTCGCGCCGGGGATCGAACCCGGACCGCCTGGGCAACAGCCAGCGACTCTACGCTCACGGCCACCAGCCCACGGTGAGCATATGAAGAAATACTTGAAATGAAATTTGTTGCGAATTTATTACCCTAATTTGTGAACTTTTAGTTGTTTCTTTGCAACATAAACATTTTTCCCAGAACTTTCATCGTCTGAATGTTTTACCTGACATGGTTTTTTGTCGTTTCTTATTGTAGTACTTCTTGTAACCTCTTTGCTGATGATGAAGCTTTGAAGCTTCGAAACCGTGTTGGAGTACGGCGTAGCAATAAGTAGCAGATGTAGCAACACCATTCTCTTTCGTCACTTCATACACTGTGTCCGTAAAATATGGAATAAATTCGATATTTCCCTAGCTTAAAGCCTTCTCAAATGAGTATTTATCATGCAAGTGGAAAAGTAGTATATTTTAGCTCCAGGTTGTGTTGTTTTCGAACGCGTAGAGGAGGGAGACAAAAAACCGTGAGCTAAAATCTAATATTTTCCCGTGTATAATTCACTATTTTTTCTGTGACAGGAAAGAGGACGAATCAATATTGAGAAGATATTACATTATATCAAAAACAGAAAATCATTTTTCATAACTAAAGCACAACAGAAGCTATCAACAGTGTACCTACATACAGTGTGTCCCACTTACCATGCTCACCAATCACCATGGGTATCTTTTTAACGGTGAGAGATACGAGGTCGGTTAAATGACACCAAATGTGGAGTTTGTCAAGGCCAACTATAATGTGAAAAAATATTTTGATAAAATCTATTAGTTTTTGTTTTATACGCAAAAAACAAATTTTGATCATTTTCATGTCTCTTCCGTATCTTCTTTATTTATGAAAATATCCGAATAGAAATTTCACATTCTCATGGCAGTTTTTCAAAGTGATTTCGAAAAAAATATGAAATTTATATCAACTCTTCTAGAATTTGAGATATCATCACCAACTTAATTTTTCAAATGTAGGTCATAGCTCACTATGACTTGGTTACAAATAACTTTTTTTTTCTCTTTCAGATGATGTGTCGCAGTAATAGTTTTGTATTGATAACAACGGAGTTATCGTCATTTATACAAAAACAAAAATTCTTCGGAAGCCGCCATCTTGAATTTATGAATTTTAACAAGAAAATCATGATCTCTGACCTCAAAAACCCCCACTTACTAATTTTGAATGGAATCGGACCAAATCTTGTCCGCCATCTTGGAGCAGCCATTTTTTTCAATTTCATCAAAAATTCCTTAACTCCGATTAACTTGAAATTTGGCAGGTGTTCATAATTTCGGTGACAATACATTATGGAATTTTTGTCGAAATTTAAAAAAATGGCTGCTCCAAGATGGCGGAATGATTTGGTCCGATTCCATTCAAAATTAGTAAGTGGGGGTTTTTGAGGTCGGAGATTACGATTTTTTTGTTGAAATTCATAAATTCAAGATGGCGGCTTCCGAATGATTTTTTGTTTTTGTATAAATGACGATAACTCCGTTGTTATCAACACAAAACTATTACTGCGCCATATCATCTGTGAGAAAAAAAAGTTATTCGTAACTAAGTCATAGTGAGCTATGACCTACATTTGAAAAACCAAAGTTGGTGATGATATCTCAAATTCTAGAAGAGTTGGTATAAATTTCATATTCTCTTCGAAATCACTCTGAAAAACTGCCATGTGAATGTGAAATTCCTATTTGGATATTTTCATGAATAAAGAAGATACGAAGGAGACATGAAAATGATCAAAATATTTTTTCACATTATAGTTGGCCTTGACAAACTCCACATTTGGTGTCATTCAACCGACCTCGTATCTCTCACCGTTAAAAAGACACCCATGGTGAGCATGGTAAGTGGGACACACTGTATACGGGATGGGTCACGGTGGATGGCCTATTAAAAGTATCTGGAGAACGAAAAGACAGAACATTCTGGAAATTGGGATGCTTTGATAATTGAACATTCTCTATTTGTCTAAAATGTGTTAATCGATACAGTGTTGCCACTTCTATCAGGAACAACTAGCAACTTTGTTTTTTCAAATGGAACACTCTGTATTTTATTGCATTTTCAGATTCTTCATGAGGAGCTGATTTCATCGATGTATCATACTTTGGGTCAAGCAGAAATGAATACAGAGATAAAGGGTATTCAAAATCTAGATTTTTCAATGTCAGGATTTTTTTGTGTCGAAACTATTCATCTACTGGAATTTAATTGGAAAAAATACAGGGTGCTTCAAGATTCAGAATTCTGATCACCCTGTATCTGTTCCAATTAGTAGATAGTGGATCGAAAGTTGAGATAGGGACATGTAAACCGTTTTGATCGATAATGAATAGTTTCGACACGAAAAAATCCCAAAATTGAAAAATCTCGATTTTGAACACCCTCTGTTATCATTTCTGCTAGACCCCAAGTGTGATACATTGATAAAATCAGCTCTTCAGGAAGAATCTGAAAATGCCATTATAAACAGGGTGCTCCATTTGAAAAAACGAAGTTGCTAGTTGTTTCTGATAGAAGTGGCAACACTGTATCGATGAAAAGATTCTAGACGAATAGAGAATGTTCAATTATCGAAGCATCCTAATTTTCAGAATGTTCTGTTTTTTCGTTCTCCAGATACTTCTAATAGGCCATCCACCGTGACCCACCCTGTATATGTGATATATCCGGAAAAAGAGTACTTACTTTCTTTCCGTGGGAACGAGGTAATTTATGGAAAGTGACATTTTATAACCTGTCAACAGAATTTCGAACTTTTTTCAGTCACATTTTCAATTGTGATGTTCTACATTTCACCACTTAATTCCATTTCACAGGATGATAAACATTGAGGTGATGTCGGCATGGGCAATTTTTTCAATGTAACATCTAGTATTATATACCTTTTTGGAATCAGCTCATTTCCATTGTTCTGAAAATGTCACAAAATATACGGTGTTACATTCAGAAAAAAATACCGATGACATCATAACCTTGATGTGTATCACCCTGTAAAATGAAATTTTGTGCAAAAAAGTAGATCAGAATTGAAAATGGACGTGTTTCGGATTTTTTTGAAATGACTTTGAGTCTGGACAATATCGAATTTATTCTCAACTTTAAGGGCACAAAGTGATCGGCTAAAAAAATAATCAATAACATGACTTTTTTTTCAG